AAAAAATATATTATAATGAATAAAATTACTCATTAAAATATACTCAATTTAATTAAGTGAAATTTTAAAACTTATTATTCATATATTTTAAAAAAATAGTGAAGCTAAGTTTTTTTATTAATAATTAACATAATTCTTATTAATTTATAAACATAATTTATGTAAAATTTCTAATTTCTATTAATGTAGTAACTATAATGTAGTTCTATTAAAAGTAATATTATATAAATTGTTAATAAATATAAATTATTAAAATTGAATACTATAATACTATAATATTATGATAAAATTATAAAATTATGATAAATTTAAAAATAATATTATGTTTCAATTTGAATTTAAACATTTATTTTTTAAAATAATTTCATAATTTATGAAATATAAATTAATCATTTATTATTTTAATATAAAAAAATGGAAATCATGTATATAAAATATTAAATATAATTCTTTGCATACATATCATACGCAAAAGAATTAAAAATCAAAATTTATTTTTGCGGTTTATATGATAATTCTAAAGTAATAAAAATTTAATTCAATGATTTAATATTTATTATATAATATATAATTAATTTTGCAGTAATAATATTAAAATAAAATATTTAAAATTCTCTATTATTTTCTTTATCTTTTTTATTATTTATCTTATTTATAATATAATTCCTATTATAATATAATATATTTCCTATTATAATTTTATTAAATCTAATTAAAAACATGAAATATATTAATTTTTGAATATATATAAATTTTATATAACATATTGAATCAAAATAATTTTTATATTTACATATTTACAAATCTCATCTGTAGTAATATAAATTTAAAAATATATTTGTAAATTTGAAAACTTTGTTTTAATGACAATTACGATATGCGTACATATTGAAATAAAGTTCAGAAGAATGTAATTTGAAATCTGATGTGAATAACTTATTCATAGTTATGAAACGGGAAACAATATTATCGCCGAGGAGAGTGGTTACATCAAGAAAGTAGGCGAAGGCGAGGAACAAGGAGAAGCGTTGGTTCAACAAGGAAGTTTCTCATATACGAGTCCAGAAGGGAAGCTGATCACCATCCATTATACTGCCGACGAGACTGGCTTTCACGCGACCGGAGATCACATTCCCACGCCACCGCCAGTCAGTGAAGAGATTCAAAAAGGCCTCGACCTCATCTTTGCGGGCATTCGTCAGCAAGAGGTACGTCCCACGACTTTTTCTTTTCTCACTTTCTGCTTTTTCCTTTCTCTGTTTGTTCTTTCCTGTGTTTTCTTTCAATTCGATATATACTTTCTCTTTCTTTCTTTTTCATCTTATTCTTTCATTTCATTTTATATTTCAAAGAAGTGTATATATATTATAAATTATATAAGATAGTTTACATAAATTGTGATAAATTATTTTTTTCAAAACAACTATTAATTAAATAACTAGATTAATATATATAATATTATTTTATAATCATTTAGAATATATAAAATTAAACTTTTATTAAAGATTTTAAAAATTAAAATATTAAAAAAAAGAGAAAAAAAAGAGAAAGAAAAGAAAGTTCTAGTATTATATTTTTTTTTAATTATAAGTAGATAATTATTTTGTATAGGTATTATTAAATATATTAACATTTATTTTTATTTAAAATAATTGTTACATATTCTATTTTAAAAAATAACATGATAAATATTTTTACGATTTTCTGAAAAATTTTTTATAAATGTTGCTAAGAAAGAATATTTCTTGTATCATAGATATGATAGATAATATCATAGATACTACCTTTATTCTATATAATTTTGTAATATTACAAAATACAAATAATTATTATAATGATAATAGTTAAACATATCTATTCTAAATATTTATAATATTATTATTTACGATATCGAATGCCAAAAATTTTGAGTTTCTAATAATTTATTAAGTAATTAAGAAATTCAGAATATGTAATAATTTGAATAAATAATTAATTTAATTTGTTATTGATATTATTAATGGAATATATAGAGTTTTAATATATTTATGAAATATTTTATTGATTCTAAAGACACAAAATGAACATAAAAGTTACCATGAAAAACCATGTTGATGGTTGAAATTTAGACAATTTGGTTATCATATATTCTCCCATTATTATTACGATATCATAAATGTTCAATCTAACTATTATTATTTTTTAGAATTATTTAAAATTATTTTAATTATTTTAACTATTCAAAATCAAACTATTCTATTTTTATTATTATTATTAGTTATTTAATTACTTTAGATTTAGCATTAAGAGATTAATAATACAGTTTCATTGTAAAATTTTAATTTATAATTTAAATAAAACTATTTTATAATAATAAGTAAATTTATTAAATAATATTTTTTTAATAATGACTTTATTTATAATAACTAAATTTTGATAAAATTTATTTTGACTAAATTAGATTAATAGATTTTAATTATTGAAAAATATAATAAGAATGTTTTATTTTAATTTTAATTTTTTTTAATCCTTTAAAATTATTTTGTAA